GTTATTCTAAAATGCTCCGTTTCAAAATTTTCCAATCTGAAATTGTCCTAAAGTCATTGCAAAATGATCCGTTTCAAAATTTTCTAATCTAAAATTGTCCTAAAGTTATTCTAAAATGATCCGTTTCAAAATTTTCCAATCTGAAATTGTCCTAAAATTATTGCAAAATTATCCGTTTCAGAATTTTCCAATTCAAAATTTTCCTAAAATTATTCTAAAATGATCCGTTTCAAAATTTTCCAATCTAAAATTGTCCTAAAATTATTGCAAAATGATTGCAAAAGTTTATAATCTAAAATTTTCCTAAAATTATTGCAAAATTATCCGTTTCAAAATTTTCCAATCTAAAATTATCCTAAAATTATTGCAAAATGATTGCAAAATTTCCTAATCTAAAATTTTCCTAAAATTATTTCAAAATGATCCGTTTCAAAATTTTCCAATCTAAAATTTTCCTAAAATTATTCCAAAATGATCCGTTCCAAAATTTTCCGATCTAAAATTGTCCTAAAATGATTGCAAAATGATTGCAAAATTTTCTAATCTAAAATTTTCCTAAAATTATTCCAAAATGATCCGTTTCAAAATTTTCCAATCTAAAATTTTCTACCCCAAAACCTTCCGTTCCGAAATTTTCGAACGTACAATTTCCAAATCGATAAAAAGAGAAATGAAAAATTGCGAAAAACTGCAAAAAGCGACCCGGTACAATTTTTAATTGGCTGTGGGAACCGTTGAAAGAGCGATGTACACCGGTTTGTCCCGTGGCTCGAGAGCGGCCCGAAATAATTCCGAAGCGATCGAATCGTATGGAACGAGGCGATCGGTGAAGAATTTCCCGAATTTCCGAGGGAGCGCGTTCGCGGCGCGGCTAACCGGAATTCGGAAAATTAGTATTCGGCACGCGTCGGTCGCGCGGCGTCGAGATTATAATCGAGCCGACCAGCGGGGACGAGGTGTTACCGCTGAATAATTTGAGGTCGTGCGTTCCGGCGTCGTTTGTAAACGTCACGCGGCGCGCGCGCGGGGGCTGGGCTGTTTAGAAGTTTCCCCGGTTTTCCGCTTCTTTATCCTTTCCGGTGACAAATCGACCGTTTTAAAGCGGGTGTCTCTCCGCCGCGAGGAACGCCGTCGCGGAATTATCCCGCCCGCGCGCGACACGCTTTATCACGCCAACGGCCGAAACATAATTAAACCGGATCGCGCTCTCGCGTGCTCTCTCGGAAAGTTTTCTAACCGTCGTCCGTCTCCGTGCGTCGTCGATTCGACACATTTTCGGAAGAAGAGTGGCGCGTGCCGGAAAAACGTGTTGCAAATCGTCGTTGTTTTAATCTCCCGCCTTGCAACCACGGACTCGTTCCAGACATTTTTCATTGATTTCAACGCTGGATTCGCGGAACACTAAAATCAGCCGTTCTACAAGGTGTCCCAAAAATGTCTCGCGATCCGAAAGTGATGGATTCCTCGGGTCATTTGAAGCAACTTTTTCCTTTACAAAAATTTTCTCCGAGGCACCGTTAACGAGTTATTAACGAAAAACAGTGACCAATGAGAGGCGAGCTCGGCTGGCGCGAGACGACCGAGCCAATGAGCGGAACCGTCGAGCGGTCGAATGCCAGCTCAGCTGGCGCGAGGCGGCAGAGCCAACGGCGCCAGCGGTCGAGCGGTCGAATCCCATCTCAGCTGGCGCTGTTGGCTGGGCCGTCTCGCGTCAGCCGTACTCGATTCTTATTGGTCACTGTTTTTCGTTAATA